CAGCTCCTGACCTCCCCTCCAGACCTCCACACCAGCCTTTTTCCCTGCTCCTGAGCCATCAAGGGATGGGAATCAGACACATCTGGAGGCCAGCAGCCCTCCTTGCTGGTTCTGTGTAGGACAGCCTTTGCTGACTGCACAACTCCTGATGGCCAGGGCCTCCAGCCAATGATGACATTGCTCCAGGGAAGGAATTAAGGTTGCTCTGCTTTTACAAACAGCCTATTGCAAAGCCATTTACTGAGGCATCAAGGTGCTAATATCTTATTAATAATCAGGGGCTAAGTTCATTAAGGCTTGTGAGGATCCCCAGAACTACCATTACAGTTACTAGAAAGGCAAGGGGTAGGAAAGCTCCCTGTTAACAAAAGGCATCCACACACCTCAGCAACACAAACCATTTCTTTTTTTTCATACAAAGCAGCATGTTTAAAATGAGTCACGTTGGTGTCCAATATTAATTCTATCTTGCTAGTGGTGTTCAGCACTAAAAAAGACCACATCTAAAAACTAGTAACATTACATGAAAATAGAAAATGCTTTCTTAAGAGCACGCAGAACTGTCCTTTTCAACAGTGGAAATGGGTACGTATATGTGAACTGGGAAGATTTTAGTTTGGGACTCACAAAATCTAGTTTGGACATAAACTAAATAAATGAATAAATTCCTAGAGCAAAATCGCTCAGGCCTGCCAGCAAGGAGTCTTCTGCTTGAAAACAAATCTCTTCCAAGCTTGTCTTTCTTCTACCAGTTCATCTGACATTGGAAACAAATTCAAAGGCAGCAAATCCAGATTCCTGATGATTTCCCTTGCTGGAATGAAGTTGCTGAATTCTTTGCTATCTTGTTAATTGTCTAAACTGTACTGATCTCACCAGTGGTTCATGACAATACAAAACAATGACCTAATGACAGTTACTGTTAGCTCATTTTGAGTAAGGTATTCTTGTTTCTGCTGCATGGAGAGGTAGCAGTAACAGTGGCAAACTGCGTGACTTCAGCAGCAGCTCCATGAATACTACAGAACAGCAGTCACACATCACAACATTTGTATCATCAGCACAAACTTGCACTTGCCAGTGAAGCTTCTGACCTAAGAAACCTCAGGGGAATACTGAGCACCCTGCAGAAAAACAAGAAATAGTCACATACAACTAAAGCTCTAAAGTTTCCACTAGCGTACATCAGTTGCAACCCAGTGAAATCCAAGAAATACTGTCTGAAACACTGAAATACCTTTTAATTTCCAAGTATGCATTTTCAAAGATGTTTTTGATGGAATCTGTAGTGATGGCAACTACATAGATTCCTATGGCACTAAACTCAGGTCCTGTCTTAATAAAGTCTTAATAATAAAAAGACCAACGATCAGCAGGAGATGCTTTAAATGAAGAGCAGGATTTTCAAAGCTAATTATTGCAGAAGCAGAAAGCTTATCAGTAACAGAAATCTTACCACTGTTACCACAGAAAGTGATCAGCTGAACCCTTTAATGCTAGCTTTTAAGTTCTTACCCTCAGAATTTCACTATATTAAAAACAAAAAACAAAACAGCATCATTTACAGTCACATTCAGCAACCTGCTTGGCAATTAAACAATCGATCAGTTTTTCTGGACATGAAGGGCTTTACCTGCATTATGTTTTCCTTGTACTTCCTGAATCCCTTCTGCAGGTGAACTGTGTACCTAAACAGTTTCTGAAATATTCTCATTTTACAACCTTACCAGACACTTGCCAAATTTATCTGCCAGGAGGAGTTTATTACTGCTACATTCCAGCATCCAGCTCAATTTGTACCTTGCACATTAACTGTGTGAGTTATGAAAGCATTTAAGTATCAACTTCTATAAAATTCACTATCTACACGGTGGAGCAGTTTTGGTTTTATTTCTTTTGAGGGACTTAGCTCTGGTACCATTGTTAGGGAGCCATGATGCAGGTGGAAGACATGAGCAGTTGCTATAGCATCTGCTTCCAACCAGCCATCCCCAGGGCACACTGAGATCACTGGGGAAGCATCACAGGAACTCTACATACCAGTGAGAGTGATGACTTCTGTATTTATTTATTTCGCTGGTTAAACCTTTGATAGACTTCTCTGCAGATTTGCTTCAAGAAAACACAACCATCTGAAAAAAAAAAGGGGCTTTTGTTGTAAGTTTTTCTCCTGCTTTTTTTTCCATTTTTTTTTTTTCCAGTCATATTCTTAGTTTTCTTGGGGCTACTTTACACAATTGCTATTTTTTTGTTGTTGTTAAGTACATTGAAATGACACACTGGAATATGTCCTAGCCTTTATCTAAACAGCCTTAAATGCTTACATTTTTAAGGGAGCAGTATTAAACTTCTGTTTTAAATGCCAGTCAGTAATAATTTTCAGTCACCCATTAGTCACCACATGCATTTGTCAGTAAGCTTCCAGCAAAGCTGAAACACATAAAATGTATCTGAGCCATTTAGTTCCATCATTCCACCATGGGTAAGCTCATACGTTGAAGCTTGACAATATCATTACAATAGTCAATGCTGCAAGATGTGTAGTTGCAAATGTCCAGCATGATGGAAGGGCACCTTTTGAGAAGTCAGTAATAGGGTTTGCTAAACACCTCACCATAGCAGTTAACAATTGTACACTTCTATTTTCTGTAAAATTCCCATCACTGAGATCTTTGACACTTAACATTTTTTTATAATGTTTTATGCTCGTTTTCGTTCCCATAAGAAAGGCAGTCTTACAATATGATGTAGTCACTGAAATCTAGAAAGCATTACCAACACAGCAATAACAACATAGAAACAGCCTTTTGTATATGATGTGCTCCATTCTTCCAGTGATTAGAAAGAACTTATTCAGTCCTACACTCCTCATTCAGTACAGCATTCTCCAAGAATTTCTGAAAGTTGATTGTTGTAGCATTTCTCTCTAGCAATGGACTGCATGGCTCTGTATTTCTAGCAGGCAAATAAATGCTCCCATTGCTTGGATTGCTGACTTGCTTACTGCAGGAATACTTTTTTCTTTTCTCTACATTTCTAGTTGTTTCAGTTCTTCATTTCACATTCCACATTCAGAAAACAAAACTTACTTGCAGTAACAGTTCAGGGTTGTTAACTTTTCCATTTTTCTAATTGCTATGCTATCAAAACAGCTCTCACCTTAAAAGACAGAATTGTGCAGGAATACAACACCTGTTTATGAAGCAAGGCGCAGAGTGAATCAGCAGGCTGGATGATACAAGGGATCATCCTTTCTGAACAAACAACACGTAGCAGTGACAAGGCTCATTTCAATAAAATATTGCTGGACTCTGACTTCAGCTATTAGCAACATGGGAAATACCCCTAACAACAAAGCATTAAATCAGTTTTAATTAGCCCCCTATATATATAACATTTAAAATGCAGAGCAATAAATTCATGTGGCTACCATAAAAGTCAGTCATTCTTAACAGCCTGCAGTCATTCTAAGAGTAGTGAGGTGGCTGTGGTCTCTTTAATGACCAATACTTAATAAATGAGAACATGTACAGGTTCTCACTAGCACACACTTCATTCCACATGCCCACATCCAGAGAAAAGGCAGGTTCTTCTACAACATCACTGATAGATTAAATACATTTTTATTTCTACAGTTTCAATCAAGATTACAGACCTGCAGGAAAAGAGCATTTTTAACAGAAGTCATACACAGGCAACTAAGAAACTCTCTCCTTTGAATCAGACACTCAAATAACTCAATTTAAAATACTATGCCTGTTTCCCCAAATGAAATCTATTTTTAAATAAATTTGTATCTAACAACAACAACAAAAAAAAAAATCTATGACAGAATGCGGTTTTGCAGAATAGCTGATGTCAGAAAACCATTAAATCTGCATCTCTGTATAACGCTCTAAACGGCATCATAGGTGTACCTGCTGTATCTGTTATTGCCATTTTGGCTGTGGGCTACAGGGACAGTGGAATCCTCCACTTACCTTATCTATTTGGGAAGTGCATCTTGTGAAAGGTTGACAGTTTAATTATACATCATGTGTACCTTTGTGCACACCTACAATCACCCATTCTAGTGCTACAGATGGTGTAGAGTCTGGAGGGCAATACACGTGAGGAGCTGCTGAGGGCCCTTGGTTTGCTCAGCCCAGAGCAGAGGAGCTGAGGGGAGGCCCGATGGCGGCTGCAGCTCCTCACAGGGAGCGGAGGGCAGCGCTGAGCTCTGCTCTGTGTGACAGCGACAGGCTGAGGGAACGGCATGGAGCTGTGCCAGGGGAGGGCCGGGTTGGGGGTTAGGGACAGGGTCTGCAGCAGAAGGCGGTGAGCATGGAACAGGCTGCCCAAGGCCGTGGGCACAACCCAAACTGCCAAAGTTCAAGAAGTGTTTGGACAATGCTCTTTGACACAGGCTTTGAATTTTGTGTGATAGGGGCAGGGGTTGGACTTGATGATCCTTGTGGGTCTGTTCCAGCTTGGGATACTATGTGATTCTATGACTTTTGTGACAGCTGTGGCTGAAAGCTTTGATTCCAAGTGTTGGCACAGTGAAAAGAAAACAGGAACACTGACTGGAGGCATGGGCGTTGCTAGGAAATGAAATACAGATGACCCAGTTCTATAAAGTGTATATTTGGATGTTGGTGTCTCAGAAGTCAAAAGGACACTAAAAGCAATGGAAGAGGCATTTTTCTCAGTAGGAAAGAAAGAGGAGGTGGCAAAAGCCCTGAGAAGCACCCGGAAGCTTTCTGAGCCTCCAACCTGAAGAAGGAGGGCTTAGTGCCACATATTTAGCAAAACCAAAGCAGACCCTCAGTGCTGCCAGAGCAGCATTGGTGCTTACAGACACTGGTGGCAGCGCACTGTGCTGTCTGTATTTGGTCAGACTGGGACCTATAGAACGTGAGAGAAAAAGATCTTTGAAAAAATATTACTTTCATATTCATCACATGCAACTCCTCTACCTTGAGCACCATGAAGAAAGCTGTGGACAGGTTCTTAAAGGCAACAAAGAAACCTGTAACACAATATCAAAGCCCTAAGCTTAATTGTTGATAATAGTTCCGTTTTTCCCCACTTCAAACTTGATTCCTAAACTACTATATTAAAAATAAGTACAAAATATAATATTGCAAATCATAACCTGTTTTTCCATAGTTTCATATCCAAGACAGACAAATTAGCACAGGAGATGTTATTACTAGCAATCAAAGAACACAACACATTTAGAATATGAGGTTACACATAGGAAAGCTCTCAAATTCATTCTTCTTTTCAAGAAGTCTTCTTAACTCAGGGCCTCCAAAGCAGAGGTATGACATGGAATATAAATACCACTTGGGCACACAGTACAGTTTTGATTTGTTTGTTTTACAAATTGTTGAATTCCCCAGCAAGCCTCAATCCAACATGTATTAAAAATAAGCCAGCTTGACTGAAAACGCAGTTCTGTTGTATGAACCAAGTTGCCTCTGCTCTCTTTTCAATCTTGAGGCAAAACTGTCAAAGCTTGAAACAGAAACACAATGACGGCATCACACACAACTTAGTAATTCAGAAAGTTCACAAATGTTAGCACTCAGCAGAAATATTCTTTCTTATAGTTATGGAAGTCTTCTACTGATTCTAAAATGCCTCTGACGTCTGTGATTTTGAAATACCCTCATTCAATTCTACAGACTATGAACTTGATGCTAGTAGAATTGGTAGTTTTATTGTGTTATTTGCTACCATACAACTCATGAACAAAGTGTTATCAGACAACTGAAGTGCTTTTTTGATTCGATTAGTTAGCCAAAAGTTTTGAGATTCAAAAGATCTCCCAGGTCACGGTCTTTCTCTGGATGGTAACCTTTCCCACCAGATTTCTTAAAAACTCCAATTATAAGTAACATAAGCAATGAAGCATTTGACACATACCTTGGGAAACCTTCCCATAGACTAACAAGAAATTGTTTTTCCTGAGTAGAACTGTAATGTCATTTCATACCATTGTGCATTCTCGTGGAATTGAGGAGATAGAGTCCTCAAAGATAACTTGGAAAAAAGAAGTTTGTTCAACTACACTGAAAAGTGTATAAAAGCAATTCAACTGTGAATTGTGTTGATAACAGGGAAACCACGAAGGTAAGAGCTAACTTAAGACAAAGAAGCAGCTTCCCAGCTCTCTATTCTCCATCAACTTGAAAAAGTCACAGATCCATGTGGATGGTTCCTAAGAAAGAATTCAGTATGAGAAGAAAGCTTGGGTTAAAATTCTACAAATATACTTTTGGGAAAAGAACTAATGCTTCCTCAGCACCATTAACTTCCCACTTTCCAGAACGGAAGAAAAGCACTGTGAAAGGTATTACAGTCTTGAAGCTGTATCAGCCATGGTATCTTCCCACCTCTTCTTGTAAAGAACTGAAACTATCATACTATACAAACTACAGCAGTTTAACAGAACTATTACGCTGATCCTGAGAACACCTCATGAAAAGATGTTGCCAAGGGAGATATCATAGAATAGCTAATTTCTACTATAATGATTTCTTTTTCCCCTCACAACTTAATAAATAGTATTTTTTATCTTACATATCCTATAGCTAAATATTTATTCATTTATTTATATTTCTCTCACCTTCTAAATTGCTAGCAGGAACTGGTGAGAAATCAGTTCAGAGTATTAGCGCCAAATGTGTGAGCAGACAGCTATTTTGACAATGCTACAAACATAACACAACTCCAAAGCAAAAAGAACTCATGAAAGAAGATGCCATACGAAAGGAGACAAGAGAAAGCATTTCACAGTCATCACTGAAGTTAGACAAAAAGAAACATCTGTAATCTAAAAAAGATACACATTAAGTTCAAATCATTATTTAAAGAAATATAACAGATACCTTCTGGGAAATATTTAGTACCCACTGCTGTCAGATACACTTGCAAGTAAAAATACAGGGAGGTGGATGCAAATTTGACCTCTGTCCTTCAGAATCTCAGAATCAACAAAAACAAGAGAGGCATTAGCAATTGCCAGCAAAATCCATGAACTAAAGGCCAAATCCATTTAGAAAACATAAATAATTTGTTAATTAATAAAAAAGAAGGGTAGATGAACTCATTGATTTCACGTGTCTTTATCCACAGCCTCCTTCCGGCGCTGGGTCCGGAAATGACGCTCAATATTTATCGTTACTTCCCTTTGCAAATTTCTGTTGTTAGTTTTTCCAGCTGTTCTGATCCAAGGATGCTGAAGTACTTGCCATGCCGTGTAGCGCTTCTGGGGATCCACTATCAACAGCCTGGTAATGAGGTCTTTTGCTGCTGTTATGAAAGAAAGAGGGGAAAAGAAAAGCAACGTTATGATTCTGAGAGTTACGCCTAATAAAAGGTCCTCATTTTTCTTATTAGTTTTATCATAACGCGTGTTCAAAGAAGGGCAACAAAGCTGTGAGGGGTCTGGAGCACAGGTCTTATGAGGAGCAGCTGAAGGAGCTGGGATTGTTCAGTCTGGAGAAGAGGAGGCTCAGGGGAGACCTCATTGCTCTCTATAACTATCTGAAGGGAGACTGCAGTGAGCTGGGGGTCAGCCTCTTATGTAACTGGTGATAGGACTAGTGAGAATGGCTTCAAACTGCGCCAGGGGAGATTCAGGCTGGATGTTAGGAAATAGTACTCCTCTGAAAGAGTGGTCAGGCGCTGGAATGGGCTGCACAGGGAGGCGGTGGAGTCACCGACCCTGGAGGAGTTCAAGGAACAGCTGGATTTTGTGTTGAGGGACATGGTGTAGTGAGAACTATTGGTAAAAGGTGGATGGTTGGACTGGATGACCTTGTAGGTCTTTTCCAACCTTGGTGATTCTGTGATAATGATATTTTTTTAATGGCCATCCCCCGGAGGTATTGTAGCAACCGGATCTAGAACTAGTGACAGGAGATGTTAGAACTCCAGTACATTCTTTACTGATTCCAATCTCCCCTGAACAATGACAGAAGAAAGGGAAGGGAATTTAATCATGAAGGCATCCTGAAGGCATATGGCTAGGTGTTCTAATTCATAGGAATTAGCATTGGGTATCTTGTCCCTCAAAGAATGTAGAAGTCATACAGTACTGTTGAGCACGGTTTCTAAAAGATAATAGGAGAGGTGGGTTTTGGGGTGTTGGATTTTGAAGAGTGCAGAAAAGACACTACTAGCCTGCAAGAGGAAAGAAACCACCTCAAAAATTATCTCCACAGAAAACTCACACTGCGTTCTGCAGAGCAAGAACTTGATTCTCAGCTTTTGAGATTCTTTTACACACATCTTTACAATAATGCAACATAAGCCTGGAGATAATTTTGATGCCTTTTGTTCTTCAGGGGCAATTCTTACAAGTAAGGTGAGCAAAATCTTTGTTATTGCCTCAGAAAGGGAGCAATCTGTTGTATAAATCAGACCTGATATTCATATTCACAGCAGATGCTACTATGAGAGGATTAAATTCACACGTAAAACATGTAATCATATAAAACAAGTATATTTGTAATACACTCCAAAATCCACCAAAATCACTGTTCTGAAGAAAAGAGGAGTTTAATGTGTTCAAGCCACTCTAGGTAAGAGCTTTATCAATTTTCAGAACTGGTATACATGAATCTTACCTGCAGAAATATTGTCCCAGTATGGGGAAAGGAACTCATAGTGACCCAGCTGTATGATTTGAAACAGCTCTTCTTGATCACGCTCCTGACTGCGAAACGGGGGAAAACCACAGAGCAGAATGTAAAGGATCACACCAGCTGCCCACATATCGACTTCGAGCCCATAGCCTAAGGAAGAAAAAACAAATCACAGCTAATTATCTTTTACTGGAAGTTTTAGTGTTTTATTGGGGTGTTTTTTGTTTGTTTGTTTTAGTTGGTTGGGGTTTTTTTTGTTTGGTTTATTTTACTTTTTTGAGGGAGGGTGGGGAAGAGGAAAGAAGACAGTCAAAAAAGAACAACCTTCTTCTCATAATTGGTAAGGAACTATTTCTTTTTTCATTCCATCCTCAAAGAAACAGAGAAGCTTTGCCCAGTTTCTAAAAAAGACGAGGTCAGCAGAAGAATAAGTGGCTGGTACACCACACTTGCAAGCTGATCCTCCCTGTTAATAATCACAGTTCTTACACAATGCCTCTCTTCTCCAGCATGTTTCACAAGTGTTATCTAACAAGACCAGAGTCAACTGGGGATTAATTGTGAAACATGCAGGATATATTTCTGAAATAGCTCTCTCATTATTTTTAAAAAGAAAAAAAAGAATTAAGAGAGTGCCAAGTTTCCACCGAAATGTAATGCAGTATGAGATGTGCAACCCAGCTCCACCGAACAAGACGCAGAAATAGCTTTTCTTGAGTAATTAATAAAAACTGACTCCTTTCCAGGTCTGAATCTTTCTGGATATTAAATACCAAAAATTCTCTCTGATGTAAACCATGCTTTGGTCTGTGAAAGAAGTTTAACATATGCGTTCAACATCCTTTTGCACTATTACAGGGCCTTGAAAAACTGTTTGAGTTACAGACACGAAACAAGGGTGACCATCCTAATGTTCCAAGATAAAATTTTGCTTCTTACCCCAATTTCAGTAATCGTTATCTATGATGTTGTAATGCTTTGTCTGCTTCAAACGCCTTACCTGCTTCAAAAATCACAGCTATATATCGCATAGACCTTAATAAAGAAAACATGACTGATACCATGCTTGTATTTGTCAAAAGCTAAGAAATGTTTTATCCTTTCATAGATTTTGCTGCCAGCCAACCTACCAGTAGGTTGAAACATTCTGGAATATTTCCATGACTACAAGGTTAGAAGTAATTTTACGACTTGCCAGAAATCAGAGATTTATACACTCACCCTTCTCAGCAAGTATCTCAGGGGCAACATAGGTTGGCGTTCCACACACAGTAAATATGGGTTTTGTAACCAGCTTTGCAAGGCCAAAATCTGCTAGTTTCAGTGTAGTAGACTTATCTGCGTTGTGCTGAACCTATACTCAATGAAAAAATAAATATTTAGTTTGCAGGCATTTTAAGATTGCCTGGTAGATAAAGGAAGTAGTACTTTTGTAGTAAAGAGTAAGAGGTTCTAGTAACGGTACCTGCAAGTAAAAGAGAATGAAATGGAAACCACATTTTGACAAACAGTATTCAGAAACTTTTCTCTTTCCACATAAATAGATGGCACATGTAGTTAGGAGGAAAAGCACTAATGGAAAAGGACAACTTTGCTCTACAAGTTCTGGCACGCATTTCCAAGAAATGAAAAGGAAGAAGACCGAAAATAAAGGGGAATGAAGCAAAGATTTATTTTTCCCCTTAGGAAAAGGGGAAGAAGTAAAACTGTGGGCCCCAAGATGTACCAAGACAGGTTTAGAGTAGGCATTAGAATTTCTCTACAAAAGGAATGGTCAGGTGTTGGAATGGGCTGCTCAGGGAAGTGGTGGAGTCCCCACCTCTGGAGAGGTTTAAGAGATACATCTAAGGTTCACTGAAGGACACGGTTTAGAGATGGGACTTGCTAAGTTAGGCCCATGGTTGAACTTGATGATCTTGAAGGTCTTCTTCAACCCCATTCTATGATTTTATAAAAGTGGTATTTCCAAATATGCCACAGATTTTATGCAGACATCTGAAAAGCCATCCTGCATTGCAGGTCTGAAGTGAGAAATAGGGTTGAAGGAAGTGTTTTATTTTCTTTCCAAATTACTCTGCAAATACCTGCTGCCCTGAAAATGAGAGTCACCGTAATCACACAGTAAGAGCAGGAAAAATTGATCCAACAGAATGCTCTCCAGCACGTCTTTCCAGCAGTTTCCACCTCCTGCATCCACACAGATTCTAATTCTGTGTGCATGAGTGTTTAGCACTGATTTGTAATGCAGCTAATGAAACATTATTTTGAGAGAAAGTATTGAAAGGTCAAGTCATGAATAAGGTAGCAGGATAATCAAACACATTGGTTTTTTAATGCTGGTTACTGAAACTCAAATATTCTTTAAGTAAAAAACAAAAACATTTTTAATGAGAAATTACCTGTCTCTAACTGCGAGGCAAAAGGACTTCACATGACTACAGGAAAACCAAGAAAATCTGTTTTCAGGTTTTGAACAGACAGAGCAGAATATGATGTGACAGGAATGCTTCAGGCTTTAACACCTCATACTTTGCCATCAGGCAGTGCTTGAGGCAGCCAAAAATTCAAGATGCTCTTTTATAACTAGGGGTACAGACACGATAAAATTTGCACTGCCCTACATTACAGCCAATTAATTCCCATTTATCTTCCTAACAGAAGCTGTAAGCACTCTTCCAGTTGTAACTAAACAAAAACTTCCGAGGTTTTTTCCTGTTTAAAGAAAAATGAAGGGTTTCTCAGTGTGAAGAAGTTGTCTAGAGCTGTGCAGACAAAGCTTCCATAGGAGAAAGACAAAATGCTACCTTCTCTTTTATTGAATTTGTTAATTTCATGAAGGTTTTTTTTTTTTTGTCATCACACAATGTAGGCTCCACAGCTAACAAAAATGAAAAATAAATAACAGTTATTTTCTAGAGCAGCATCTATCCACAAAATCAATATTTTAATAATGTGGTCAACATGGTAGAAAGTTACAAAAAAAAAAATCACAATTGAAATACTCAGTTTCATACGTGCTACGTGAGCACGAATACACTTTTTGACCATGTATATAAGGATCTTCAAATTACATAAGGAAATAGTGTCACACATGGAATTTCAACTAATATCCTGCACTGCACCAGGACTAATAACCCTGGAAAGTTTATACAATTGAGCTTTTTGGTTTGTTTCTTTTAATCAAATCAGCAAGGGGAGAATATACAGGTCTGAAGTCCAACCCGTAAAAGCCAGTAGTAATTTTGCTTGAAATATACAGTTACACTTTTTACAAGAAAGCCATAGCCCTAATCTCACATCAGAGCACAAGGTGGCAATACTGCACCACATGTTTGTGAGGACAAAAATCACTGAACTTCCCTTTTATTTCACCGAACAGCCAGGAACACCATGCAACGTAGATATATTTTCACAGCTTTATGATAATAATTTCTAAGACAGCATGAAATCTGTCAGCATGTCTGGAAACCTCAGCATAGAACTCCTCAGCATCCTCACTCAAAATAACTCAAGGGCAGCACAGACCAATTGGGCATACACTTCATCCCAAACGTTGTGTTCTCCAGTACACCTTTCCATCACCTGGCAGCAAAACAGAAACTGAGGCAAATATGCTTTTTTCAAAGAAAGGCTTCTCAGGATATTCCCTCGAGCGTTTACTTACAGAGTAACACAGAAATCTCTTCTCAAAAGAGATCTAACCCCTGAGTTCTGCCATATATGCCTTGAAATGGTGCAAAGCAAAAACTCTAACATTAGAGGGTCATACTGCCTTTACCACGATACCTGTTACAGCATCTGTATTCAAGACTACACAAAAATGGTTCCACAAGTTCTTCCAAAAGTGCTGCCTCATCTTACCTGCCTAAAGAGCTAATTGAGATGAGGAAGAGCAGTATTCAAATACACTTTGTCAACAGATGGCCAGCTTAAGCCAAACAAGTACTTGTGCCACTCAGCTGAAAGGTAAGCCAGCAGTGGTAGCCCCAAATCAAAGGGAATCAGAAATGCTTGCTACTCTCTTGAACACAGGATATCCAAATATTGTCTGTGGATTTCTAGCCATACACCTGAAAGATTGTATTATACTAATACAAAACAAAGCTTGTTTCCAAAAAGGGATAAATCTGGTCTTTCCCTTTTTCTCCTGGTTGCTGATAACTGCAAAGTTCTTGTTTGTTTTCATATCTATATTGGGAAATCCATCAGGGTGTTTAAAAGATGATTTAAAACATTAATATTCCTCTTTATGCATGTGTGTTTCGTAGTCCAGATTCCTCACATCAACATAATGAAATCAAGCTGACCCATGGGACTTCTTGCATATTACAAGAGCTAAGGAGAAAGCACGTCTTACACATTGGAGCTTTCAGTCATCCCACACTGGTAGACAGAAGAATCTCTCCATCTCTCATGAAGAAATATCTCAGAAAATAAGCTGCCTAGGTTTATCATACTGAAAGCACCTGAAAGCAGGACACTTTTTTTTCTTTTTTTAATGTCTTTATCAATGACTTAGACAGGCATACTGAGCATACCCTCAGCAAGTTTGCTGATGACGCTGAGTGGTGCAGCTAATGAGATTCAACAAGGCCAAGTGCAAGATGTTGCACTTTGGTCGAGGCAATCCCAGATATGCTCACAGACAGGGAACAGAACTCATTGAAAGTGGCCCTGCAGAGAACTTGGTGGTACCAGTAAATGAAAAGCTTGACACGAGCTAACATTGCGCATCTGCAACCTACTGTATCCTGGGCTGTGTCAGAAAAGGGGTGGCCAGCAGAGCAAGGGAGGTGACTGCCCCCCTCTGCTCTGTCCTTGTGAGGCCTTGTATAAATTACTTGTGTCCAGGCTGGAGCTACCAACACAGGAAGGATATGGAGCTTTTGCAACAGGCCCATAAGAAGGCTGTGAAGATGATCAGAGTGCTGGAGAAACTCTCCTACAAAAAAAAAGCTGGGCTTGTTCAGCTTAGAGATGAGAAGGCTCTGGGAAAACATCAGTGCAGCTTTGCAGTACTTAAAGGGAGCTTATAAACAGCAGAGAGATTGACTTTTTACAGTTTGATAGTGAAAAGACAAAGAGGAACAGCTTTAAACTAAAAGAGTGGAGATTTAGATATTAGGAGATCTTCTAGAGGGTGGTAAGGCACTGGAACAGGTTGCCCAGTGGATGCCCCATCCATGAAACCTATTTAATGCCAGGCTGGATGGAGCTCTGAGCATCCTGAGATAGTAGTTGGCAACTCTGCCCACAGCAATGGCATTGGAACCAGATGACCTTTAAGGGCCATTCCAACCCAAGCCATTTTCTAACTCTACAGTTAAACAGGATTTTAACTCTAATGCACTTGGAAAACTGTGACAGTGTTTTTTGTATTTGTAAATAGTGTCACAAAACCAAAGCCACTTCATAAAAAGGTTACACTTCACAGTGTCATACACATGAAAACATGAAGAAAAGAGGAGCAGGAAGAGAAAGAAACTCAAATTCATAAGCAGCTACAACACTATTAGTGTGCTTGGGACTGATATAAGTTTACGGTCACAAATACAGAAATATGCATGCCCAACATCAAAAAAAAGGGGACAGGGATGTGGCTTTACATTTTTTACAGTTTTAACCTGGAAAAAGATTCTCTATACTAAGTTTTTGACCCACAAGACACCTGTGACATTAAACAGCAGCCCCTAGCTAAAAATCTAGTTAGGAAATTCCACTCCCATGCATTTCCAGTTAGCCCTAAAGAAGGGCCCACCTTATTTTGTGAGACCAAATACACCACACTGCAGAAGCTTGGTAGCAAAGGCTTTCTTGCTGAACATTTAATCCTACGCCAGGTGATTCTGTTAGTGGAAAGGGTGGGTTTCAAAGCAGGTGTCCTCACACCAGCTGTCACACAGATTTTGTTTTGGTAGCACAGGTCACCACCTTTCTGCCTCACAGCTATGCTGCAAGGAGTTTGAAAGCTGTGAGCAGACACAGTAATGAAAGATGGAGGGAGAAAGGCAAAAAGGATACTGGTGGGCTGTCACAGAAGTCTTTAACCAGAGAATATTGCCCTAAGAGCAACAGGAATAGCACAGCAAACCAGTAAAATCAGGTTTCTAGTTCCTATGTGAACAATTTCACAATTCACTAGACATCAAAGTGTATTTGCACCTTTTCCTCTGTAAGGAGGGAAATAGTTTCTCTTCTTTCCCCAGCTGCTTATTTTCATCAAACCTCTGGACTAGATTAGATTGGATATTAGGAAGAACTCCTTCACAGATAGGGTGATGAGGCATTGGAACAAGCTGCCCAGAGAGATGACAGTTGCCATTCCTGTAGGTAATTAAGAGCCATGTGGACATGGTATTAAGGGAGAGGTTTTAGAGGAGGAATTCTTAGAGTTAGGAGATGGTCAGACTTGATGATCTTGAAGATCTTTTCCAACCTAAATGATTCATTGAAAAAGTAAGGGCCTATTTCTGTCCTCTGTGCACAAATTGCCTAGGGAGACCAACTGAGACAGAAATCTGTGGTGTAAAAATGTAAAGTGAAGCAAGAGCTATCCCAGAACCAAGGACAAAAAGGAGACATTGCAGGATGTCAGCACTTCCAGCAGACAGCTTCCAGCCCTTCGCCCAATAACAGCAGATAAACCCATAAAATTTGCTTCACAAATGGTTGTTATGGTTCAGCCCTGGCTGTCACTAAGCTCAACTGGAGCTGTCCTTCTACTCTAAGGAGTCAGCACACTAAAATTCAGAAAGCCAGACACCTGCTCAAATGGCCTGTATTTTTAGGGGTACTTCTTAGATACATGATGAGCTAGCCAATATTACCAACAATCTACAGACTCATTTGACTTGTTGAATACACTAACTTAAAAAAAAAAAGCTGTTTCTAAAACAGCTATTCAACCAATTAACAAACAAGGTGAAACCAGAAGAGGAAAAATGTTCTGTCTTGTTTTGTTTGTAATGCAGTTCTTAGATGACAAAATACCTACACAGTGGGGAGCAAGGCTGTCCTTGCAAACACGTTTTCTGTGCTTGCAGCCAGAGCAGGCAACATAATGACTTCTGTGCTACAAAAATTTGCCACTGCCCATGGATCTTTGCACGGCAGTGCTGTGAACTACAAGTGAAAACCATCAGATGAGACCTGAACCATGCCTCTCTTTACACTTACTGTATCACTGTGAAGATTACACACGATACACAGAGAAGCATCTGGTCTCATATGTTTCATATGCACCAGATTAATTTCAGTAAAGAGGAAGGAGCAGAACCTGGCTTATAATTGAAAATCAGCTTCTGGAAGAAATTCCTTCAGGTCTGAGTAAAATTTTGCTCTAATAGCAGAACAAGGGAAGATGGCAGGGTCCAGAACCATACTTATTTCTGCAAACCAGCTACTTGCACTCCCTTTTACTTATGCAAACACACCACTTAAACATTTTTGTCAGACTAATCAGAATGTGTAGCAGGACCAAATACAGACACCACTTGGTTAATCAAAAGGTCTGGATACAAACCTTACAGGCCCAGCTTTGTTCCACCTCTGCACAGCCTACAGGCTACACTGCTGCCTTTCTCCAGAAATTCACACTTGCTAACATTAATTCCCTTAAGGAACTGACTGGCACATAGGACTAAATTGTCTATTATCCTTTTTTGGCTAACTACAATCTTCCATCAGCAGATCAAATTAGCTCTGTTAGAGAAAAGCAAATATTTGATGACTGCCTGCGATGAAATTTGGAACCTAGGAGAAGAGCGTAACAAATGACTGGCAAGGAACAGTTGTTTATTTTCACACTCCTATAATGGGTGTCATACCAAGAGTCAATATTGAAAACATTTCCGTGCATATTTACATGAGAGTAAGTCTCCTACTTCAGCGACGGATACAAAGAACGTGATAGAAGAAAAACTTATAGAAATCACTACAGTAGAGGACTACCACAGTGCTCTTCAGGATGGGTGACTGCAGTGAACAAGAACTCTACCAAATGTATTAAAATTGCTAATGTCACTTCTTAATTTTGATCCGCAAGGAAAACAGCTTATGATTCAGTACATGCTTTGTGAATGCAAAACATTGAAGCTTGGGTACCTAAATCCAGATGACAAACAGCATGGTAGAATTTCAGAAAAATACAAATATTCACTAGCCCTGAAAGCCAGGCTATTTTCATTTGAATTTCTACTTGCAAACATCATCATCTGCAGCATAATGTAGATGTATGCAAAATGATCTGAAAAGCTAATTTCATTTCAAGGTTGCATTCACTTTCCCAAGCAGTTCTGCGACAGTGTATTCTCTCTGCATATTCTTTGCATAAAACTATTCAAACATTCATAATAAAAAGGAAAATAAATGCAACTCCTGCACAATGTTTGGCAATGCTTACCAAAAGGTTCTCTGGTTTGAGGTCCCTGTGGACAATGTTCTTACTGTGAATATACACCAGGGCTTCACACAGGTCGGTGATCATGACAGCAGCATCATGCTCTGTGAACTTCACACTTTCTATGATAGCATCAAATAAGTCCCCTCCTGGGACATACTCCAGGATTAGATAGATCTCAGCCTCCGTCTCATATACTTCAATTAAGCTTACTATATTGGGATGAGAAAGACTCCTAATGATCAGAATTTCACTTTCCATCATGTCCTCCTTCCCCTTCAGCTTGGATTTATCAACAATTTTCATGGCATATATCTGATTTGAGTCACAGCGGCGGCATTCCTTCACCACTGCAAAATTCCCATCCCCAATAGTCCTGCCAATCTCATAGTGGTTTTCTACATCAGTTCTGCTTTTTATAGCATGCCTTCGGCTGGCGATTTCCAGTCCCTGAGCCTTGTTTTCTTCCTTATTCAATCTACGCTCTCCTGTTTTCTCTCGTCGTGTCACGTCACTCTCCCTATGTACAGCATTTCCCTCTCTCCTGGCACCTTCTTCTTTAGCCCTTTGTCCCTCTCTACCATCCTTATGCGTTTTAGATGGTTTCTCAGCATCCCTTGGAGTGTCTTTCATTAGCCAACCATTTTGGTTTGTTACACAGCTACTTCCATTTTCTTCCTTCATTTCATGAGCTATCTGACGCCCTTCTACAGCATTCTTCTTTATTTTTACTACTTCCTTCTCACGGTTTTCATGTTTCTCCAGATCCCTTTCCTTCTCAATGCTCCTTTTTTGCTTTTCCAGTCCTTCATTAACATTCCTATGTAGAGGCTTCCAGGTCCTCCTACAGCAGTTATCTTTCCAGCCAACATCTTCATCCTCTAGAGGAATTTCTGAAGCTTTCTGGCAATTCCTGATTTTTACATTTCTTTCTACATGGTACCTCTGACACGCACGTGCATTCAGGTCTATGTTCTCAAATGAAGCCTCAGCCTGCCTTTCCCTTTGCAACTTTTGCCTGGCCTGCCTTTCCCGTTCACACTTCTCACACCTCAGTACCTCCATTGAACTCTCTTCTAACCCTTTCTCAGGACTCCTATCTTGGTTAAGGTACCTCTCATCTTCTCGAGCTTTTCTAGAAGGCCTCACTCCTTGTTCACCATTCCAACTCCCTCTGGTCCACTTTTTTTTGGTTCTCATTTTTTCTTCTTGCCTCGTCTTGGATTGATTTTTTCCAGCTACCATTTTGGGAGACACGGCATCACTGCAGGTCTTGGCAACTTCCACCTCATCGAAGCCACCATCCACTTTTGAAGCTTTATCACACAGCCTGCTCTTCAGTTTTTGGGACTGCTCCTCGTTCTGCTGAATTGCACTGGCAGCATACGGATTTTCAGGACAAAGTTCTTGTATTGCCACTTCCAGGTTCTTCAATGTAAGGGGCTCCCTGCCCAGAGCTATGAATGCATCACCTTCTCTGAAGAAGTCAGAAACACTTTGGATTTCTCTGCCTCTTAGACTGTAAAGCTTTCTCACACGATCATTCTTCCAACGTGGAAATCCCAGAGCTTCTGAAATGTCAGCCATTAGCTGTTCAAAGGTCTGCACTGATCTCCTGTTCAGAAGCAAGGTTATCTTTCTCAGCATATGCCCACAGGGTCTCACCACTGTAATAATCCTTGGCTTCACAGGACTGTGCTCTGAATGTACAGTGTGAAAATCATTCCGGGGATTAAAACATGAAGACCTACAACTGCTTGCATTCACACATTGCTTTCCACAGTTTCCACGACCAACAGGAGGACAAGTCCCACGCAGTTTCCTCTCTGTTACCTTTGAGCTTGCACTTTGTGACATATGCTCAAACATGCTTCGGTGTCCTAAAGCAAAGAAAGAGTGGGTATGTTATTCATTTTGCATCACTAGATCTTTATGAGTAATATTTTCTACGTAAGTGCTGAGGTTACAAACTCAAAGTCAGGATACTTGCATTCAGTGCTTCAACGAAGCCACTAAAAAGTAACTTCACACACACGCAACTACAGGTGCTGTTTGTGAGGAAATACATACTTATGTTTGTGAGAAAACATAAGTACAGGATTTACAACAAAGAGATTCTATTTAGAAAAAATACAGTGCCTAAATGCCTTCATCTGCTAAAAATCCCCCTAAAAAGAGGCTTACTTGTTTAACATCCTTTTATAAACTTACCTTTCACAAACTTACGAGTTTCCTTCCTGAACCCAATTACAATTTTCACCTCTAAACCCTGCAGCAAGTTCTATAGTTGTACTGCATGAATTAAAAGATATTAATTAGTTTTGCTTTCAAATTGCTATCAGACGAGTATGTGTGTGCAACCTTATACTCTTTATAAGTACCTCCCCTCTATGTTCCCTGGACCATTTGCTTAGTTTCTAGACTTCTATAACAATTATATTAAGTTATTTTATAGTTATTTTTATACTATTTTTTTTAGTACTTTTATTGTATTTTTTCCTTAAAGAAAGGCCATCTTAATTCTGTTTGATATTTTGGTTTGACATTTTCTTTTAAAAACATAAGTAAAACTACAGAGTCTTGAATAACTTTCAGGGACAATGATTCCTCCAACATTTCACCTTTGAACACCAACCAACACAGAAAATTCTTCACCATTCTTCGCATGTATTAATGAAAAGGAAGATCTAAAAACACGATACATGGTTATGGCCAAGTCATCGCATAATTCAGTTTATAAACTCAAGAACAAGCTAAGAATAATATCACTGTAAGTATTCAGATCTCATGTACTTATTAAAACTCGATTGCCAGGCAATTCTTTTCAGTCTCAGGAAATAAACTTCTATGATGAGATCACAGAATGCTTCCAACTCCGTTTAATAGTCTTATAATTCAGTAAGGAACAAACATTTAATGAATTTGAACTAACAGGCTCAACCCAAAGGAACAGAATCACAATGATTACTGTAATTTACCAGGAAATTCCCATGCTTACCTCCCAGAGAATCCCACCCATTTTTAATACATCATTATGACTACACAGCCACATGACAGGGTTACAAACTGCAAAGGAAAACTCATGCATTTGACAGCTCCTCTTGGGGCTACAGGTAAGACACACGTGTTCAAGAGCTCTGGCAAGCCAAAATCTATCATGTTTTGGTTTTCAACTGCTGAAATGCCATTTTCAGTATTTCAAGCTCTGTATTTTTTCTTTCTTCAAGGTAAAACAGAGTGAAAAGCACCTAGGAGAACCAAGAGATGTTGCTGCAGGCCCCCCCTCTGCTACTGCCTACTGTTTAGTGCCATGATGCTGGCATTCCTTCGTTGTGATGCTCTCACTCCTAAGTGTTGTGCCCCCTCAGCACGTCCCATAGCTCTTGGCTTCAATTCATCCCTCTGCCAAACAAATATATATTTTCTTCTCCAGATAAATATTACGAAGACACCCGGCTGCCAGTATGCTGATCGAAGACGTAAGCAATTATATAAGAGCTATGTGACTAATGCTTGGTGGTGGCACAAGTTATTTCTGTCTTCATTCTAGTTTTTAAGGATGGTCTTGTTACTGAAAGATGATAACATGTGCTAGTAATTTTTTAAGCAGGTATTTACATCGTACCCAGAATAAAAGCCAATTGTGAATGGGGGAGAGGGGGTGAGTCAGATATAATAATAGTTCTTGAAATATAAATCAATTTCAGGCTACGTTGGCTATCAGGAACTGCCGAAACTCTGAATTTAATCAGCGCTTTCAGATTCTTGTATACCCACTGTCAAAGCATCACTTTGCTTACAGGAACAGCACGTGACATTTTTACAGCTTATTATCTCAATGCAACACACAAACAATGCTGCACTAAGAACGACTTTTCCCATAGATTACTTTCCTCCCAGCTGTGCTAGCATTACCAAGCCTTTTGCAAACCATTCATTTTAAGTGCCTGGTTACACTGTTGATTATTTCAATTACATCAATAATGTTTCCTCTCTTCACTAAGTCAGCTAAGCTTCAAATGGGAACCACATTTATTTTTTATTCTATAGCTAACAGAGCAAGAGCAGTTTTATTCAATTAAAACAAACAACCCAGGAATGTGCTTTTGTGCTTGTTAAGCTGCCTTCATTCCTAGCCAAAACAGCTTGACACAAATCATAAGTTAAAACACATATATAACCATTGAAGGAGTAAGAATATTATCACATCTTTTTCTAACAGGAAAAAAAGAAGTTACATGAATGCCTAAATAAACACAAAGTTATCTCCTACTGTTTCCTGAGGAAAGTGGGAAGTGCCAAACTTTGTCAAAGCGGTTGCAATGACTAATCTGTGTATTACATAAACTAAAAGATAATTTCAATTGCCTGTTGCAGCTATGCATTTTATTCATTTTCTAGTTAAGCAAATTTTAATTATCTGATATGAAGCAAGCCCCAGTCTTTCAGGAAAGAACAACACAAAGCAACAGCAAGCATTTCTAGAAAGCCTTTAAATACCCTAATTGAATCCTAAAGCTTCAAATCATATTGCTTGAAACCTCGTTTCTATATTTAAACAGAAGTGGGAGAGAAAGGAAGAAGGAGGTGGGACTAGAAACACACTTCAATGAGTCTGAGTGCTTGCAACTGATACATCAGAGAATAAAACCTGTTTTCCTTTTCACTGTCTTTGTGAGAGCTAATGGTTATTAAAATTTATAAGAAATATGTGTATTTTATATGCACAAATGCATGCAAATGTAGTGGTTATTCTGTTTTGCTTTTTAACTATATACACTTGCAAACCACTAAGTATTAAAAAATAGGGTGATACAGAAGATGAAGGCAGAGACGTAGGGGAGCAGCAGGGCTGAGACTGCTGCTGGAAGGGCAGAAGCACCGCGTGTCCCACCTAAGCCATCCATGTTGGCACTGAGAAAAGAAAACTAGGGCTCAGAGCAATACAGCATTCCAGATGAAGATGACACGATGGTCTTGTGGGGGTAAATCGTTCACATCAAGTCCTTAAAGGAGAAGGGAGGATGAGACAGAGGCATTTGAGGACCCAAGTACGTAGCAGGAAGAGTTCAGCTGTCTGCTGAGCACGGTGCAAGTGCTTCCTGGAGAAAATGTCAGTTGCTGCATGGAGCACAGCTTCTGGGGTTCATTTATAAAAGCCAATTCAAAACCCATTTGCAAAGTCACAGTCAATTCTAATGGGAGTGGAAGGTGAGTGTGAAGTATAGAATAGAAAAGCATTAAACTTCCTTTAGAAGACCCCTCCTTGTAGGGGTTTGGTTCACTTAAGCACTGAAGAACATGTGTAGCAGAGTTTGCCAGAGGTGTCCAATCATGACAATTAAAAATTTATTGCTGCTATTTACCCTTCAAAAGTTACCCCTTCCTTTGAATAGTCCAAGATTTGCTCATTAATTAAAATATTTCCACTCATCTTACATTCCTTCTTGGCACTCCAGTTGGAGATCACAGTTTCAGTAATTAACTGAATGGTTTACCCAGCAGCTAATTCTGCTATCAAGGCACAGGTTGTCATGCAATTAAATTTTTACAAGGATTATTACAACACAATTTAAAGCAGAAAGAAATACTGAGGTAAGACTGAGTTACGGCATCACATCCTGTGAGTAAAATGTTGCTACTTAAGCCCTGTATTTTACTTTGAGGGTTTTGGATCAACATGAGAGTCTTCACTCATGAAAGCTCCCTAAAAAGTTATGAGGATTACTCACACAAATAAAGCTGCACACGATAGAAATTGTGTATTGGGAGTGGTTTTGATGTATTGGTCCCAAAACAGCACACTTGAGGCACTGTTTCAAAGAGGAAGTGAAAGAATAGCACTAAAAGCTGCCTTTCCCTTAGGCCCCAGAAATTCCCATTGATGACATACAAAACAAAGATGCCAGGGTGGGGGAACAGTCTCAATCTGAACCAACTCTTCAATTGTGCTGAAGTAATAAAAGCATCTCCAAGTAGTTGGGAGCAAAGAATCTCCTCAACCTTGAGCTCAGAACAGCGAAGTGCATAATGGAACAGGTTACCAGCGTGCATCAGCAGCCAGACGCCCTGGAAGCCTGCTATCTTGAGCTCCTTTACTTGCTGTAAATCATTAAATGTTGCAAGTTTCAGGGCTAGCCTACACCGTTAATGTCCAAGACTGAAGTAGTAGCATGACCAGTCTTAAGGCACTAAATTAGTTACATGGAAACAAAATATGATCACAGGCATCCTTTTACAGCAAGTAAATTTTACATGGGCATTATTTACAGCTCTACAATTGGAAACGCTGGTGTTGATTTTTTTTTTTTCTTCTCTCTCTCTCAAAATAGCCATAGCTCCCTGTCTTTTCTGCCCTCCTGATCACTGTGCCTCCCTGCCAGACTTTACAGCATTTGAAGAAGAGATTTTCTTTGAGTCAGGAATTTATTATAGTAACAATGAAAGGCTGCTACCCTGCATCAAATAACCAAATAACATCCTGTGCAGAAAAAGGAAGTCAAAACTCACAAGGTGTGGATAGAGACAGTGTTAAAGACTGCAGGACAATCCCAGCTGGCTCCTAAGAAAGCTCTGAAGGCTTACACGGCTCAGATCCAATGAAGGCCTTTAGGACTCAAGCATGCCTTAGCCCTAGCAGGATCAGGAATTATTTGTGAAATGTGGGATAAAGAGGCCTGGGAAATGGGTTAAAACTGGAAGTTGACAAGGGAGGAATGCAGAAAAAAAAAAAAAAACACACATCACCACAAAAGGCAATGGGATGTAGAGTTTGTAGGGAGAGAACAAGATTGGGAGTAGGAAAAGGACCTTGCTCGTCTGATATCACCATTCAAAAGCCAGCCTCCACGTCGCTGAAGAGGGAAACCTAGCTGAAATT